TCTCTATATGGGACCCGAACCCTCGGCGGGAGCGCCGCCGCACTCTACCGAGTGCGCCACCGGGCCGGCCCCAAATCCTTATTCTTTACAGAAATATCGCAAGGATTTAACCACAGCTGCTAACTTGTGCGCACACAGTACGTGCAGCCACCTTAGGAGGTGGGTCTTATTTCCATCTTACTGGTGAGAAACATGAGACAGGAGAAGGTCTGATGCAAAACTCCCAACACGAAGCCTACTTCCAGGTCCTGGGCTCCACAGCAGGGGCTCTCTGGGTGCCGTCCCCTTGACTGTTTACATCTCGTCTGTAAGGCAGTCACTATCATGTCCGTGTGTATAAATGAGAAAACTGGGCTGGAGAGAGGTGAAGCTGCTTGTCTAAGCTCACACTCCTCGGTGAGCCAGGATCTAGACACAGGTGTGGGTATCCCTTCTCTCTAGTGAGTAAACCTAGGCCGACTCATGCCACAACATTTATTGAGCACCTACTATGGGTCGGCACCACAGTAGCACCAGTGACGGAGCAGACAAGAACTGTGCTTTGTGAGCGCTGTTCTGCAGTGAACAGAACACACAAGAATTTCTGCCCTTTCTCAAAGAGTGAAACATACCCCTGTGACCCAGTAATTCCATTTCTAGGTATGTACTCAATGAAATCAAACAAAAATGTATTATCACACAAAAACTTTTACCCAAATGTTCATAGCAGCATTATTCATCATAGCCCCAAAGTGGAAACAATCCAATTGTCCACCAGCTGATGAATGGATTAACAAGTTGTGGTCTACCCATATGACGCAGTATTATGCGGCCATACGAAGGGACGAAGCGTTGATATGTGCTACAGCATTATGAAACGTTATCATTGAAAACCTCATGCTAAGTGAAAAGCCAGACACAAAAGACCACATATTGTAAGATTCCATTTCTATGAAATGTCCAGAGTAGGCAAATCCATAGAAACAGAGCAGATCAGTGGCTGTCAGGGGCTGGTGAGAGAAAGGAACGAGGACTTTCTATCTGGGGTGAAAGAAGTATTCTGAATTAAACTGTTGCATAACCACCTTGCGAATACACTAAAAACCACTAAACTGCACACTTTCAAAGTCGGGATTTTATNGGTGATGATATGTCAGGGTGGGTTCATCAACTGTGACAACCGTACCACTCTGGGGAGGGACGCTGACAGCGGGGGAGGCTGTGCATGTTGGGCGGGGGACAGGGGTACGTGGGAAATCTCTGTACCTTCTGCTCAGTTTTGGTATGACCCTAAAACTGCTCTAAAAAATAGTCTGTTAAAAAATTATTTATCTATTTTTTAAATTTTTTTATATAACAGATTTTTTAAAAAATTTACCTTCTTAATATACATTGTAGTTGATTTTCGTGTCCCTTTACTTGTTCCTTCCCCACCCCCACCCCCCGCCACCAATATTGCCCTAGGAAAATCTCCCGGGCACAGGGCTCTGTCTCAACAGTCTTCAACTGAGCTTGTAAACACTCAGGAGTTGCAGCTGGAAAATTCAGTTGTGAGAGTATAAATCTGCTTCTCACCCCAGGTAAATAACAATTGTTTGATCATCTGGACTTACTTCCTCCGGGATGTCCCACTGTAGCCTGGTGGGGTATGGGATATTTGGGTTGGTGTCCCCTTTACAGTGTCCATCCTCTGCATAGCCCAGCTGGAAGGTGTCGGTGGCCATGACATACTGTCAAAAACAAAAAGGTGTACATGTAAACTCAAGAGCTTATTACAGCTAACAGTGTTACACAAATGTGTTGGACCTCCAAAGGTGGACAAATCCTTATTCTTTTTTTTTTTTTCCTTTTTGTCTTTTTTCGTGACCGGTAACGGGATCGCAACCC